AGCTTCATGGCTTCATGGCTTAACTAAGTTCTATTCTATGCCACAATAAGGTAAATAAAATAATCCAACTTGCATTTTATATATTAAAATTGTTTAAAAAAATCCGTTTGGATACACTCACCTTAGGAAAGGATAAAATTTTACATGTGAAGATATTAATGACTGACTAGATCATTTTCAAATGTATATGCATAACAAAATATCATGGTAATGTCACAAATATGTAAAATATGTTGTCTTCAGACAATAATGGTTTCATTTTTATTAAAAGTTATTTATTATTTTTCATGTGTAAGAGTGTTATGCTTGTGTGTATGTACGTGCAGCCATGTCAGCAATGTCTGTGGAGGCCGGAAGACAGTGGGAAACCCTGGAACAGGTGTTCAGTACAATTGTTAACATCATGTGGGTGCTAGAAACTGAACCCAGGTCCTCTGCAAGAGCAGCTGGTATTCTTGCCCTCTGAACCATCTCTACAGTCCCAAGATTAGACTTTTAAAACTCACAGTGAATTAATCCTGAACTTCAGCCTTTAAAAGAGAAACTCTCACTTGTGAACTCCCCATTCTGTCCATGAAGCTAAGTAGAAACATCAGTGCTATTTAAATGAACAGTTGCAGGCAGAAGAGAGTGAGGCTGACAGTCAGCAACCAGTGCTTCTGAAAGAGAGCTTAGTTTAGCGTCTGTTACAATGGATGAAAACCATGTTGCTCTGCCTGTTTAATTAGGAGGTGAGACAGTTACAGTCCCTGAATGTAGTAGAAATTCTTGTTCTTGTTGGCAGGGCAGACCACTCGAAGGCAGGAAAGCAGGAACTTCTATGGGGTCTCCTTGTAGAGCTTTCTTCCTGTGCATCTGCAGTGACAGCAGACAGTACAGTGGCCTGCTTTGTTTTCTGTCGTGCTTCTTCCTCTTGTTACATTGGCAGGTGAGGTGAATTTTCAGTGAACTGAAAGGAAGTTTCTTGAAAAAGAGAGAAGACTGTTTATGTATTTGCCAGAAAAGAAACTCACGGAAGGAGAGAGATGGCTTCTGTTCAGATAAATACATCCAAGGGCCTTGACCTTGTACACTGTCTTTCCCTGTGTTTGGGAAATTGAACTTCTAACCTTGTCTTATCCAGAAAGTAGCTATACATACCAGGCTAGCCTGGATCTCACAGAGTTCCTCAGGAGTCCTTGGAGTAAAGGCCTGCACCACCATGCCCGGGCCACATTTCATGTATCACCTGTGTAGTATATCCACCTCTCCATTTTGTCCTCCAGTGCTTATGCTTTCCCACCTAATCCAATGAATTCATGACCAACCATCTCAAAAATGTTTCTGATATGATAGATGAAAGTTCAAACATGTCAGTCTTCAGTTTCTAAGGAGGATGGAATTGGGTCCTCATATGCCACCGTATTGTTGTTTGAACTGTACATACAACTGATATTTTTGTTTTCTTTTATGTGGATATTGTATTACTTTGCTCAACATGTCTCCTGGGAATTGATTCCCTTGGTTGAGTTGCCCTGAACCAAATCACAGACTTTAACATCATTGCTTTGTTATATATATATATATTTTTTTTTTCTTTTTTTAAATTTTACTTTTACGAGTGTATTGTGTGCCTGTATGTGAGTGTACCTGTGTCGTGCAATCCCGTGGAGGTCAGAAGGGATGTTTGGATTCCTCTGGAACTGGAGTTAAGGAAAGTTCATAGCCACCATGTAGGTGCTGGGAATTGAACCCTGGTCCTCTGCAAGAGCAGTCAGTGCTCTTAACTGCTGAGCCATCTCTCCATCCCCGACAACACTGTTTTTAGTTTGTTAAGAATAAGTTTTTTTCTGGTAGTTACAGAGTGAAGCACACAAAATACGACATTTAATGCAGGATCTCTCCTTTCATCACTGGTAGTTTTCTTCCTTTCTTTGGAAAGTTTTTTCCTTTCCTGTCTTTCTTCCCTTCTTCATTTCTCATTTGTTTGCTAAATCCCAAGTTCTCCAAGTGGAGATTCTGAAGCAGACATCTTCACACTCAATCACAGCACTGCCTCCTTTACTGGTTATTTCATCCTCAGAAAAGATCTCCTTTATCAAATATTACACACATGTAGTTGTCTCATTTTGGAAGCATTTGTGTATGTAGCATCAACATTGTTCTACTGGCATTGGATCTTGTCTTCAGGTTTTCATTACTCTTCCCTGAGAAGCCCAGTTCTCAAATCCTGTTATTGTGGTGTGCATAAGTCAGCAGTGTGTTCCTTCTAGGTAAACTTTAGGTTGGTAAATGAAGACAACACACACAGTTATTTATACGCCGCAATGTTCTACTCAGTGGTGTTGGAGAAAGTGTGTTTTATACCTGGGGCACTGGCCTCAATGCAATGTCTGTAAGGAAAAGGTTAAGTCAGGCCCAGCCACAGATCATGTTATGGTGAAAATCTGTGCTTTAGCTAGGACTAATGTGCATGATTATACACATTCGAATTTATGAAGTAGACATAAATCAGTGTATCTTTACATCAGATAAATATATACAACTGATCTCGTATGCTACAAATATAGGAGTGAAATGCAATTCCTATGTTGAAGACTTAATTTATGTGCTACGCTCCTTAACATTGTAATCTTCACAAAAATTTGGAGGGTCTGATGCTATTCATTTTTGCACAGAGTTTGAGAGTAGATGAAAAATAGTTACTCCATTAAGAAATATCCTTTATATTAATTCAGATTTCTCATCTAATTCAGAAGAGTATTTTACTAATTATCTCTTTCTTTCTTGGGTCCAGTACCATGTTTCAGTGCACATGTTCTAATTGTCATTTTCCACTTTAGGATCCATTGACATTCAAGGATGTGTCCATAGAATTCTCCCAGGATGAGTGGGAGTGCCTAGACTCTGCTCAGAGGGCTTCGTACAGGGAGTTGATGTTGGAGAACTACAACAATTTGGTGTCTATAGGTGAAGATATTTTTCTTGGACAAGTTTTTACTATTCTGCATCCTTTGATAGATTATAGTCTACTTTCTGCATATGTTAGTTTTGCTAATTAAGTCTTGGATCCTTTAAAAATTAAATTATGGGCATCGTGAAGAACGTATTTATGTTTTATCAGTTCTTTCCATTTCCACTTGTCAAGTTTTTACTATTCTGCATCCTTTGACAGATTATAGTCTACTTTCTGCATATGTTAGTTTTGCTAATTGAGTCTTGGATCCTTTAAAATTAAATTATGGGCATCGTGAAGAACGTATTTATGTTTTATCAGTTCTTTCCATTTCCACTTGTTAGAGGAATTATCCATTTTCTTTACTTTTGGTGTTAATTTCAGCCACCCATTTGTGCAAAAACACTGTAGCCAGAATCTTAAAGTTCCATTGCCATAGCTGAATTGTGAGTCAGTGATAGAACCCACCACATGAAAACTGAAAAAATTCCTAAACTCTCTAATGAAACTGTCAGAAAATAAAAATTGAGAAATTATTGGAGAAGCCACGAGGGGTGGTGCATGCCTTTAATCCCAGCACTCGGAGGCAGAGGCAGGTGGGCCTCTGTGAGTTCAAGGCCAGCCTGGCCTGCATAGTGAGTTCCAAGATATCCGGGGCTACAGGGAGACCCTGTCTCAAAAAGACCAAAAAAAAAAGAAAAAGGAGAAATTATCGGAGAGTCGCTCTTTTTTGGTGTTAATTTCAGCCACCCATTAGTACACGGTACTGTAGACAGAATATTTTTTATTATTTTTTCATTTTTAACTTTTAGAAAAACTTTATTGAGAATTTCATACGTATATATAAGGCATTTTGATCAAATCCATGCCCACTCCCTCCCCTCCAACATTCCCCCCTCTGGAGAGGTAACCCTAAAGTCTTTTAAGGATTTCATACAAGTTCCCTTTGAAGCTTCCTTTGGAACAGAGTAGGTTGCCAACAGGCCTAAGGACATTTTGACTTTTAGCCAGTAACTGTGTAGCCAGAATTTTACAGTTCCATTGTGAATTGTGAATCAGTGATAGAACTCACCATAAGAAAACTGAAAAAATTCCTATGTACTTTAATGAGTCTGTCAGAAAAGCAAAATTGTGAAATTATTTGGAGAGTCCGTTATTTTTCTGAATATTATTTGTGGAGCATAGTGCTATGTTACAAATCCAGTACTTTCTAAAGAGTCAAGCAAGCATGATGTGCCTCTTCTTCATACACAGGTCTTGCTGTGTGTAAGCTGGTTCTGGTCTCCTGTCTGGAGCAAAGCAAAGAGCCCTGGAATGTGAAGAGACAGGAGGCTGTAGCCAATCAGGTGAGTTTAAGTGGATGGAGGGGCCCAGGTGAGAGGACCTAAGTAAAAAGGCATAAAGTCCTAAAAATGGTTTTTCCATAGTCTGTTTCTTGAGAAACAGATTCTAATAATACTTGTCAGCCATGAGATGAGATTTCTTATGTCCTGACCTTCTATCTCATGGTCCAGTCTTGCCATTGTCTGGTAGTCTCTGAGCCCCATGGATACTGGACTGAAACCTCTAAAGATGGAACCAAAGTTTAATGTTAATCAGATGAATAATTTTTCTCAATTATAGATCAGATGAAGACAATCCACAATGGACTGTGTGGTAATATGAGAGAAAATAGATAAAATTCAGTTTTAAGTTTTAAATAAGCTAAAAAGATAGAGATTGTCTTACTTGCCAGGTGTGGTGGTAAACACCTTTAATCCCAGTACATGGGAGGCAGAGGCAGGTGTATCTCTGTGAGCCAGCCTCATCTCCCTAAGGAGTTACAGGACAGCTGGGGCTCCAGGGAGACCCTATCTAAAAAAGCTTATTTTTTTAGAAAAAAAAGGAGGAAATTACCTTAGTTATCACTATACTTTCTCCTTGGAAAAATAACAAGAGAATGGATGTAATATGCGCTGATTGAAGAGTGCTAATAATATGAAGGAGTGTGTGTTCACTACAGGGCATGAGTCATGTACAGTATGTCTCTTCTTCAGACGTTTTGATACACAACACAAATCCATAGCACATTTCACAAAATAAATAAGTTATAATCAGAATGTGAACTATATCTAGGAACTCTTTTCACCTTGGGGAATGTGACATGAGAGTGATGGGAACTTTTTGAACTCATCTAACCTTTCCTCAGGTATTTTGTACACTGGGTTTCTGATTGTAGAAAAAGATTTCATTTACTATTGATTGAGAAAACATAGTCTTCCCTCCTAACTCTTTTTAATTTTTTTTAATTTATTTATATTTATGTTATGTGTATGTGCTAGAGAGCTTTAGTGTCCAGTCAACAGCCTGGGTTGAGGGATCCTCAATTGCGGAATTTCCTCCACTGGACTGGGCTGTGCCTTGTCTGTGGGAAATCTTCTGGCTTCTTGAATTATGTGGGAGAGTCCCACCCACTGGAGGTGGTGCCACCACTGGGCAGGTGGTCAGGTTCAGAAGGGAGGGACCAGGGGAACAAACCAGTAAGCAGTGTTCCTTCATGGCCTGTGCCTCATCTCTACCTCCAGGTTCCTGCCTAATTTCCTACCTCAGGCTCCCTGATGAACTGTGACCCAGAAGAACTCAGATAAAATAAATCCTTTTCTCCCCAAGTTGGTATTCATCAAAGTATTTTGTCACAGAAATGGAGAAACAAAGTAGAACAAAATTGGTAACAGAGAGTAGGGCATTGCTGCGACAGTCCTGCCCTTGCTGTTTTTTGGAGGACTGTGGTAGCGTTCAGAACTTTGGGCTGCAAAAGGCATTGAGCACTTAGAGTTTGTTGCTGTGGAGCTTGGAAGAGTTGTGCTGAAAGAGTTGTGAACAGTGGTGGCCGGGCTTGTGAAGCTTCCAAAGGAAGCAGAGACTGTAAGGGCTGTTTGTGTGATCTCTTGAATTGAGAACATTTGCTTTCTGTTCAGCTGGACCTGAAGAATCAGCTGGGATTATGAGACTGGAGTTAAACCTTTGCTTTACTGGGACAATTGATGCTGCTTAGGTGGGGTGAGAAATCAGCTGTAATTAAAAAGAGACCAGTATCACTTTGGCAAAGTCTTCTGCAAAGTATTTCCTCAGTGTCAGCACAGGAACTGTGATTCAGAGGGGGTATGAGAGTCCATTTCAAGGTGGAAGCAGCATGTGGTAATGTGTAATAGTCTCCTCCATGGTTCTGGTGTTGAAATTGTGAAGGGATCACAGAGAGCAGCTGAGAATTGTCACCCGAAAGTGTGTACTGTTTTATATTGTCATATTAATGTTAAAATCATATCTTTTGGACAAGAAATCAAAAAGTTGTGGTATAATAGTGATGTTGACAAGGGTTCAGTTGAACTGGATAGCTTTAGTGACAACTTGACATATCTGGGTTGAGGCATGCTCAATTGGGGAATTTCCTCCATTGGACTTGCCTGTGAACAAGTCTGTGGGCATCTTCTTGACTATTGAGTGATGTAGCGGGGTCCAGGCCATTCTGGGTGCTGACATCCCTGGGAAGGGGGGCCTATGTTGTATAAGAAAGCAGGTTGAGCAGGGGCCAGGGGAGCATGCCAGTAAGCAGCGTTCCTCTATGGTCTGTGCTCCAGCTTCTACCTTCAGGTTCCTGCCTGGAGTTCCTACATTTGACTCCCTGATGAGCTGTGACCTTGGCAATGTTAGCTAAATAAACCCTTTCCTCCCAAAATTGGTATTGCTCAGAGGATTTTGTCACAGCAATGGAGAAACAAACTAGAACAGCATATGAAGGTATTACTTGCATATATGTAAATGTGCCCATGTCCTGCACTGCCCATGGAGGTCAGAAGAGAGTATCGAATCCACTGGAACTGGAACTGTAGTTAAGGACATTTTTACCCATCACGTGTGTGTTGGGAACCGAACCTGGGTACTCTGCAAGAGCAGCCTGTGGTCTGAGCCACTGAACTATCTCTGCAG